AGTTATGATTTGGTATATTGATTATTTATCGTATAATGATTATTTCAAACGTTTATGGTTTGGCTTCTGGTAGGTGTGGGATTTGATGATAAGCGCTTGTAAGATCAAGAGTACTGAAAAAACTTGGACAATTCGTTAGCATTGAGGTATGTGAACTTGTTTATCGTTTGAAAATAATCAACACGCATTCATTTTTTGTGTCTTTCATTTGTTGTAATTACTATTTGTGTCCTTCATGTCGAGTTGCTTGGTTCTATTATTTTGTCATTTAGTAATTTTTTAATTTCAAATTGAAGGAACAGTTTATCAATGTGATTAAATTTTCGAGATTTAGTTGTAATTTAGTTGGACAACAATCTTTAGGAAGGTTTGCAAACATTGTTGCAGGTGATCTTTGCAATTTCTTCAGAACGTAAGCTGAAAAAGGAGGTAATTTTCCTCCAAATGATAATGTTATGTTGCTATGCTATTTCATAAAAACTTGACCGAGAATAACATCAGCACATAAGTCAGGTTATATCGGCAACACATATATAATAAGGTGAATCGTCATATATATTTTTACTTAACAATATAGCCTTGAATTTTTGACTTGAAAAAGGACGATACCATTGATATGCTCTAAAGTTTTTTTGCAAATGGGATTTGATACTTATTGATAATGTATCTATTGATATAGCTGTCTGAGGTTGCATTACCTATTTATGCAAAAAATATTCGCCCATTTATTTTCACCTTCCGAATTGCATGCGAGAGGCTATTAGGGGTCCCAGCACTTATTATTACTTATATATCATCAGACTCAGTAACAGCTAATGATCTATTCAATTTACATACTTTAGAAAATGTCGTTGTTTTTGGCGTTTGTGGAAAACAACATCTTGAGCAGGGCAAACACTTTGCGGGTGGTGATTGCTTCCTCAGAAGAAACACAATTTTGTGGATGGTGGTGAGGTTTATTGGTTATTGATATATTTTAATCATTTGTTGTATTGCATTGATTTAGAAATTGGTTTAGGTTCGTTAGACTGATATTGCTCGGAGTGTTTTTGCGCAAACTCTAAGGAGCGTGCTTGATCGAATGCCGATGTTAGTACAAGGGGTTTTGTTTTCTAGTCTCTGGCGTATCATACATAAGCTTAAATGAATTTGTCCGGTGTTTTGCCAGTTTGTTGTTTGCGTGTTGTTAACTTATGTTGCGTAAATATTTTTTTTTTTGGTTTAACGCACAATGACCTTAAAACTTCAAGCGTATTTTCTAAAGTTATTTAAATCGGATATGTATTCATAAACAGTTGGCAATACGAAGTAATTTTTACTTTTAAAATGTAGAGCCTGAAAATAAAAAGAAGTATTATACCAGTGAATCCATTCTTTGCTTGATGTTGAAAAATTTGGATTTGCATCAAATCTTTTATAACATAAACATTTCTCGATAAGAATACTTTTAAATTTCAACAATTTTTTTTTTTAATAGAAATTCATATATGATAGATAAATTGAAATAGTAACACCTGTTAACTATTAAGATTTTATCTAACGCGTCACTAAATCAATACAATGGAAATTTTGAAATAATAACGCAACAATTCTCAAGAGATATCAAGTCATGATAAGCTCATAACGTTTATAGATGATTCGTAACCATGGTTAAAGAAATTATACTTTAAACTTTAGGACGGGATAGGTTGGCCTAATGCAAATGGGGTACGTTGGCCATATGTTAAAACTTATCCTCAACAAAACATTTTTTGTTAAACAGCTTGTTTTCACTTCCGATAATAATATTTTGCGTTTTGAAATGGTTCGATTGAAAATGGACAACCACAAGCAAGTCTCTAGTAGCCCTGTTGTGACATGGATTTACATAAAAAGAATAAAGTTTAAATACATTTAGATTTCCATGCAAATTAAAGGTATTTTAAAAGCATAAAAAATTCTTTTTACAAGCCATGTTGACGAGTACCCTCATATTTTCTCTAATAATAAAGCTGACAGACACTCTTTCCGTGATTTTCTTTGTGATGGCCCCTGGTTAGAAATCTTTCATCTTCTTGCTACCAAATATTCTTTATATGTTACTTCTTGGATTCAAGCTGGAATGGAATCTTTTATTTCCATTACTTTTTTTTACAAGACTGTATACCATTAAACTTTTGTTTTAATAAGTGAAAAGAGACAAGTACCAGAGTTTACAGTGTCTCTGCACTCAGCAACTATTGGTCACTCCTAACGCAATATGGCTTTAACTTATCTTATGTTGTTTTTATAAAACTACAGAAAAATTTTATTACTCATAATGGTAGCAGTCAAAATAAATCCTTTCTTTATCTGTGTTTTTTGTTTATCGTTATCAATTCTGCAGTATTCAAAATTGATGAAATCAAAATATTTTATTTTATCCCTTGTCATACTTTCATGTTTGCAATATTCATTTTCCCATAGAGCTGAATGTGCAATAAAAAAGAAGAAAAACCTCTAAGATTTTGATAATTTAAGATATGTGGTGAAGTCAACATTTAATATGAAGTCAACAAATAATACAACTATAATTGTTAAAGACTACGAATATTTAAAAATAATAAAAATATAATTGTTAAAGACTACGAATATGTAAATCTTTATGTTAGGCCAGAAACCTTGTAAGTACAGATTACAATTCATTAACCTTTATGTTTCTTAGTTTTGAGATCTTCGATCTCAAAACTAAGAAACATAAAGGTTAATGAAAAAATCATCAGAATCAAACTACAGAAAATTGAATTTTATGAAAAAAAATTCAATTTTTGCAAATCACGCAAGCTGTTTGTATCGAAGGGAGCAGAAAATCTGATATTACAAAAAATTTAGAAAAATTAATTCTAAAAGTAAAGTTAACATTTTGGAAAACTAAATTATCAAAATGGAAAACTAGTTGTCATAAAAGGTATGGCTAAAATCATAATCTATAAAGTTTTCAAATCATTTTTTAATAATAATAAATTTAATTTAAATAAAAATTAAAAGTGCAACCCAAAAACTTCATTTTTTCAGAATAAAGTAAATGTTTGTAAATTTATATGAACTTAAATTTTAATTTGCTAATGACTTTTCAGGTACACTGCAATCAAGTAATTATCCATTATTAAGTTAAAAAAAAAGTTTAAGCATATCTTATATATTTTAAAAACATAAAATTGAATTTTCTGTACTTAAAGTATTTTTTCAGAATTTTTTGGTTACTCTACTTATTAATAAAACTAAAAAAAAACTTTTTATAAACAAGAATAATTTTCTTCCTGAATCTGATTGATTGTTACTGAAGTTCATTTTTAGTTGATGTTTCACTACGTGGCATAGAGATTTGATGACTAGTTTCAGAATCAAATGGTCCGAAGTTTATTGTCTGCTCTGACCATAAACGTAACATTGGAAAGAAGACATCGTGAACTTCCTTGTTAATTGCTTTTTAGCGGTACTTGGTGACGAGACCGTTAGGTTTTCATAGAGCAACTTATAAACTCAAAAAATTAAAATGACTGTTAGTTCTTCTTGGTGCTCCAGTAATCTAACCACTACCTCATGGTTGTTGAGCTAGTTTAATGATTATCTGTACACAATAGGTATATCCTTTTTAATGATAACCTACCATCAAAAAAGATTTCTTCTGATTTGTGTTGATCTTGAATGTAGTGGTATTGGTGAGGTGGTGTGTTATTGTTGGTACGGTTTGGTGGTTTGGTGGTGATGGTAGTGGTGAATTGTGGTAAATTAATTGAATGATGACTGAAAAAACTGTTAAACATTTACACAAGTTGCTTGCTCCAGAAATAAGAAAGAAACAGAAATGCAGATACTTCAATTAAAGTGGATTTAAAACTAGAGTTTTTAATTCCTGGTTCTGTTCTTTTAAACGGAATGGGTTTAAAACTGATATTTAGTTTGTATTCATGTTTATTTTTCCACAATAACAAGTTACCGAAACCACTTTTTACTGTTTACTTGATATTGGTTATTATAACTTTTCGACGAGAAAATTTGATATGGCTCATGTGTGGTTACAAAATCTTTTGTAGCCACACATGAGAGGCTACAAAAGATTTTTGTGAGATGACGTAAATGTGGGTCAGGTGTTTATTGTTGTTTTACCAATTAAGTAATAGCTGCATATTGCCCACTTGTGGCTTTAATAATTATACTAGTTAAGTATTATAATTACCATAACCATAGATGGTCCATGTCTACACCATCCCATAATTCGAGAAGTCATATGGTGCGCATCTAATTTTCTTATCGGGTTGTTTTTGCTCTGGTGTTAAAAAGAGGTGTTATATTTTTGGATTGCTACCAAAATGCATAAATAATATCATTTTATAATACCGATATTAATATTGAAAATTTTAAACATACATTTCGTATGTCACTAACTTTTATAAAGTTTAAAACTCTAACTTTTAGCGTTTTTCTCAACAAACAAACAAAAAAATTACGTTAAAATGTCTGAGTCCCGGTTATTTAGGAACTTTGAAGGATTAGGAATTTTTACGATTTTTTTTTTTGGAGCTTTTTCTATCTCTGTTCAGCTCTGCTAAAACTCATTTCTAAGATATTGTATCACAACTTAGGAATGAATTGAAGAGATTTTTCGGTTTTATTGCCTATTTTTCAAAATATTAGTTTATAATAGATAAAGTACATAATAAATGTATTTTCATAAACCATTATTTCTATCATTACTTCCTATTTAGAACATAGATTTTTTAATAGAGTTGTTTGAATCAAACTTGATTTAATATTAAAAAAGGTGTTCTTGCTTAGAAAAAAAGTGTATCTGTATATCTAAGTTTAAAATGTTTGATGCATTATTAAGTAGACTTAGTTGAAATAACCAATAGAATCAATATCTTATGAGTTTTAACAATACATTTTTTTGATTATTTATTTTCTCTATTAACTAAATATACAATTACTTTCCATATGTTTTATTAATGAACCTTATGTTTTGATTTTAGTAAATGTTTTCATGCTTTTCCTAAATTTAGATAGTAATAATTTGATGTTTGTTATAACTAATTAAAAAATTTTATTTAAAGTGTTTAACTTGATGTTAGTTAAATATGTCAAATGAGGAGTTAGCACCAAAAAGTCGTACACCCAGTATTTCAGAGACAAACAACAAGGTTTTTATATTAATAATTTTATAATGTAGAAAAATTATGAATGACAACAAAAAAATACATTTTAACGAATAAGAAATTAAATCTGTTTACAAAACATTAAATCTCTTTGTAGATATCATGTCAAAATAAACTTTTTATTAATTTTTTTGTTTTCTTATAAATCTATATAAAAAAAAGTGTACTCAAATGTGAATATTCAACTTGAAGTTTAGCTAATCCCAAAATCCCCAAATGAGTTTTGTAATTCCTATTTTTTAATTGTGGAAATGGTTATGTTTCTTAATCTATTTGGATTAGATTTAGAATTGAATTCAAAAACACTTGCAATTACATTTCTTAAAGTAACATGATGGCAAATACATGGTATATTTACAATGCACATATATACACATAGTAATTACAATGGTATAAACAAGTCACACAGTTTGCTATAACTTGAACTATTTGTTAAATTGAACCTGTTTACAAAATATTAAATCTTATTGTAGATCTGTTATGTCAAAATAAACATATAATTTTTTTTATCTTCAGTTTTCTAATAGATTTAAAAAAAAAGTACACTAATTTAAATATTCACCTTAAAGTTAAGATAATCCTTAAGTTTTAGCTGATTCATTGTAAAGCATGATGAAATAGTTAAGAGTATTAAGGTTTCTGTTAAATTTAACTAAATTCTTTTATCTATAACAATTAAAAGTGATAGCTGATTTGACATTTGTCCTGAGCCTAAATTCTTAAAATAAGTTTGTTATGTTGGTGTTTTTATATAACTGTGTAACCCCATTTGGCTTAATGTTGTCAAGGTTGGTTTGTCGTTGACACTAAAAATAGGGTTATTGATCATTACAATCCACAAGTGTGTTTTTTTAATAAGACTTTTTTTGTGACTAAATTGTTTTCAAGTGAACTCTAATGAGAAAACAAATGTTTCCGCAAATAGTCCAACAAATTTTGTACTTTTTGTCTGTTTAATCAACTATATATAAGCTTTTATGTTAAATTTTTTAAATTATTCAGTATTAAATATTTTATTTTCATTTCTTTTTGTAGCATGGTGCGCAAATAAAGAAGTCTTCATCCCAAGAGTTACAGAAACTCAATGAAACAATAAAAGCCAAGTAATTATAATAGTAATTATTTTGTTTATAATAAAAATATTTTTGTTTGTTTGTTTTATCAAAATAGTTATTTTATTATTTATGTATTTTAAGCTAATTATTGTGGTAAAAAAGTTTTAAGTATACAACCCTTGGAATTAGGATCGGTATTTAGCAATGCTGACCTAACTGTCGACTATAAAATGTTTGAGTTCGGCAAATAGTTGCCGACCTCGTTTCTATGTTTTATGGTGAGACCTTTGTATCAAATTTTTTTTTGCCAACCTGATGCCGACCTCTGAAAGATCGAGGTCGGCAAATTATTGCTGACCTCGATCGGGTTAAGTATATATTTTTAGAATAAAAACATATAAAGTTTTATGTGAGTTTTTATTCTAAAAACTTTTATGTGAGTTTTAATTCTCAAAACTTATATGTGAGTTTTCTAAAAAATATATACTCAAAGTTTCTTTTATTATTATAAAGTGAAATTTTCCCAATACGATAATACTTAACTCTACAAAATAAAGGTCTTGAAAAATATCTAAGATGTTTTTTTTTCTTCTTTTAAATTCAAATCTGACCTGGATATATCCATGAGAGGTAATTCAGTATTCCAGTAAGCTATTTAAAAAATCACTTGAAAATCTTTTTTTTTGAGTAGTTATTTTTTAAACAGCTTGCCTTTTTTACAAATTTTTGACATCAGAATATGATAGTCCTTATTAAACTAACTTTCCTCATCAACAGAGCTGACCTTTTCCTCATTCCAGCATTCTTCGTTTGTTATTAACATATTTAAGATTGAAATTAGCTTATTTATTTCATTCTTATGAAATAAATAAGCTAATTATTTCTACATTAGGGTCAAATCATTATATTTCAAACAATGGCCTGTGGGGCACCATCTCTGATTTCCCTGATTTTTACATATCATTATCTACATTATGTAGATAGGTTAAATTTGAAATTTCAGACTTTTTACATATCTTTATCTACATTATGTAGATAGGTTAAATTTGAAATTTCAGACTTCCAAGTGCAACGGTTAAGAAAATATAGCTCCATAAACACTGCGCAGTGGCCCCCCTCGATTTAAGAATTGTAAAAACAGACTACTTTAAAGCCTCATAACTTTTTTCTAACTTTCAACAAGTGTCTCATTTTTCTAGAAGTGTTTTCTGGGTAGTTCTGTATTAAAAATACTGGTTTTTGTTGACTTGTATCATATTAGAAAAAAGTTATAGCCTCCTCAACATCGAAAAAAATTTGAAAAATGCTAAAAAAGGCCAAAATGAAATTAACTGTAGTACTTTTCTATTAATTCGTAATTTTTTTTAACACTTTGTATTGATCTAAGCTTAACAGCAATAAAGACCATAAGATCCAAATATCTGAAAATGCAATCATTTTTTACTTGTTGCATTCACATCAAAAATGACAGCATTTTAAAATAGCCCTATTTTTTAATTATCTAGGGTTGAATGCGTTATTAGAAACCATTTCCCCCCCCCCCCCAACCTGCCTAATAGCATATTCAATGGGTGCAACTGATTATAAATTGTTTCTTAAAAAAATAAAAGATATGGTTGATTGCCCCCATGCTGATCTATTTTTTAACCTGGGTAGGGGCACAAATAAAGGGGCAATAATTAGTTAAAACCCAGTATTATTGTTAAATAGTGATACTTTAAACATTTTTTAAGTTAATCTTATAATTCAATTTACATTTTGTTTCTGTTATTTAAAATGCTAAAATTTAAATACTGAATAAGTGCAATCAGTGGCAGTGGAAATGAATGAGTGAATGCATGAATGACTATGTATAATAGAACAATACAAATGAAACTATTATGATAAGGATTGCATAATTTGAATTAAGATTTTTTAGAAAATGTAAATGAGCTGTAAATTAGAAATATAGATCAGTAGTCAGATTATTTATTTAAAAATACAATGATTTTGAATAATGTACTATTATGTATATATATATATATATATATATATATATATATATATATATATATATATATATATATACATACATACATATATATATATATATATATATATATATATATATACATATATATATATATATATATATATATATATATATATATATATATATATATATATATATATATATATATATATATATATATATATATATATATATATTGTATTTATAAACTTGTTGCATTTATAAACTTATATAGTAGGTTCTATATTAGTTCAATTCGATTCAATTTTTTATAGTAAAGAAAATAATGAGTTCTTGTTCTATTGGGATTAAACTAAAGTTAGATTGCCATTAAAATACATTCTGTGGTCAGTCTGAAATTTTGGAAATGTTAAATGAGGAAAAATACTTGCTGACCTTAAGAACTGGAATAAAAAACAATGAGCTGCATACAATTTGTACTCATCATAGTCTACAATTTATTAAATACTATCCAACATTTCATAAGTCATGCTGTGACCCTTTTTTTAATTCATTCAAAGATTGTTAAAGGAAATCTGACAACTGTCACTTTGGAGCATAATCAACTGAACTATGCTTTAATTCCTGGGAAAAAAATATGTTTTAGTTGTGTTAGAAAACTCAAGAATGTTGAAGCAGTTGAGGAGAGAAAAGATCCAGATTATGTATTACCTGATAACTCTGTTTTACAAGTTGATAACCTAAATCCTTGTCTTATAAAATTTGGTTTGTCGCCAATTAAAAGATCATTAAGCATGAGCATGTTACAATATGACAATAAAATTAAAAAAAAAGTTAAGGTGTTAAATGAGTCTTTGAATTCATTTGAAGAAGAAGCGTCACAAATTGCTACGCTTAAAATCTCCTCTTTAGATTATCTAGTAGAACAGCTAAAACAAAAGTTTCATAATGAGAATAGTATTTCAAAGAAAATAAAATCACCTTAGTTCCTGTCCATTGGACCATTCAGGAAACAATAAATGAATTTAAAACAACACAATATATGGTAAAGCAAGCAAGAGCTTTGCGGGACAATAAAGGAATCCTTGGTGAAAGATCAACTGACATAAGAAATCCAAAAAAATTGACTTCCGAAGTTATAAATCAAATTGTCAACTTTTATGAAGATGATAGTAATAGCAGATTATTGCCAGGTGCAAAGGATTATATTAGCATAAAAACAGTTGAAGACAGAAAGCACATTCAGAAGAGACTCATATTATGTAATCTTTCAGAACTATACCAAAAATGGATAGAAGAATCAAATTCTAATGATATAGTTAAGGTGGGATTAACATCATTTGCTCTTTTAAGGCCAAAACACTGTGTACTTGCTGGAAAATCTGGCACCCATACTGTCTGTGTTTGTATCCACCATCAAAATCCAAATCTTATGGTAAAAGCATTTAAAAATGAATTAAAGTTAAAAGAACTGATGGCCTTAGCTGTATGCTCATTAGAAAATAAAGAATGTATGTTTCACGAGTGTAAAAACTGCCCCGGAAAAGAAAGAATTGAAATAAAGTTAAATGATCTGGTTGGCGATTCAGCAAATGAAATATCTTATAAACAATGGTTGAAAACTGATAGATACTCCTTAGAAACAATAGTTAAAAACCTTGATGAGTTTCTTGAAGAGTTAACAAACAACTTATATGAACTCACAAAACATCATTATGTCAGCAAATCTCAGACATACTATTTAAAGCAGTTAAAAGAAAACCTGAAAGCAAATGAATATATTATACAAATGGATTTTGCTGAAAATTTTTCATTTGTCATACAGGATGAAATTCAGGCATCATATTTTTCTAAAAATCAGGCAACTCTTCATCCATTTATTATATATACGAGATCTTTAAATGGAAACCTGACCCTAGAAAGCAAATGTAATTGCATTATATCAGACAATCTGATTCACAATACTGAGGCAGTCTTCACTTATGTTTCAAAAATCGTATTTATTCTAAAAGAAGAATATCCAAATATTCAAAAGATTCATTATTTCACTGATGGTGCAGGCAGCCAGTATAAAAATAGGTAGGTTAATTTTTAGTTCACGTCATTCAAAAAATTCTGATTAACCTATTTTAAACAAACCAATTTCAGCTATTGGAATGATATTTTTTAAATTTGCTATAGAATAATTAGGATATTGTTTTTTTTATTAAATTTATTGATTTCACTTTATGAATATAATTTTTCTTAATTTATTATAGGTTTAATTTGAAAAACCTTTGCTTTCATGAAAAAGACTTCGGACTGAAAGCAGATTGGCATTTTTTTGGCACTGCACATGGAAAAAGTGCATGTGACGGAGTAGGTGGTACAGTGAAAAGAGTAATTAACAACCTGTCCCTCCAAAGGCCAATTGGAAATCAAATTTTGACGCCAAAGGACATGTTTTTAGTTGCTAAAGAAAGTTTTAAAAACATCAGGTATAGCACTTTGTTGTCTAAAGGGTAATTCCACATCAAATCACCCACTCCATTGAACCATGTGTTTTCTTTTTGTTTTATATTTTGACACATGATTCCTATTTATAAAAAAATATTGCATGCAAAATTTCAGCTAAAAATGTCAAGCGGTTGACAAGATACAGCAAATTTAATTTGGACCTGGTTTCTCAAAATGACCCGGTTTTCATAACATTCTGAAAAGTTGTTTTCCTCAATAAAATAAGAAATAAAAATGGCAAAAATATAAAAATATACATTTATAATGGTTTTTTAATGCTGAATTCAATAAATGTACTTAAAATGCTGAAATGTTAGAGGAACATCCTTAAAAATTAATAAATCAACTAGTTTATATAATCTAACTTTAGGGCCCAATATCTCAAAACACCCCCGTCAAATTTTTTTTTTTTTTGCTTTCAATATTTTAAGCTAGTTATAATCTTACTAGGCACAAAAAATCTAACTGGAAAAAAAACTGAAACATATAGAACTTTAATTTTAAAGATGTATAACTTTTTTAAGAAATTCCTAAAAAATATTTATAAATTCAATTAAAATAAATTATTCCTAATTTACAA